TTCATTCTGAAAAAGAAATGTTCTTTTCCTCTTCCTTTACAGTTTCTTTACAACACAATCACTGACAATGTAACATGCCGTTATGTTTTTTGGGACCATTATAAATGTGATAAATGCTATTATGAAAGTTACAATACCAAGTACAATTAAGAAACAAAAAATTCTGAACAAAAATTGTTCAAAAGAAATTGTTGGTACGCAATATGAATCCTTGAACATGGGAAACAATTGGAACCTTGAACATATAATATTGTTAGATCCTACATTTTGCTTTGCAAATAAAATACATTAAAATGCCCATCGCTCGTTCATATGAAATGAAGAGAAAAACATCACTATGAGGTCAGAAGAAACAAATTTTGCGATGAAGAAAATGACCATCCTTATTTCGCTCAGACGGATAAAATATTATTTCTTAATAATGTCTCCACTTGCATGAATGTCTCCCTTTGATTGCATTTGGAATGAATGAGTCATTATGAAATATAAACTAAAGGCATTGTAGCAATATTTCAAACAGAAAGTTTTAAGTAAAAACGTATACCCTTATACCACTTACGTTCATATAAGTGCATGTACATGATTTTTATGCAATTGGATCTCAGTACTTTTAAGCATGCTTCAATTGATTTTTGAGATTCTCTAAACGTATGCTGCAAATTATCGCTTCGTGATTTATGAAAAAAATGAAGATCAAATCTTGTTTACTCCAAGCATTAAATTAGTACCTTTACCCATAATTATCTTTTATTCCCTTCAATTTTGATGGAACAATGATGTTTTGAAGCAGAGGGAAACAAAGGAATCACGACAAAACCTGCCGCGAATTCTTTTTAACCACCACATGCATCCACCCGGATTTGAACCCCGGTAATCAGAAGTGGAAAGCCAATGCTTTATTTGAAACGCTTCGCTCCGAGTCCCCCTGTTTCGGAAGCCGTTCGGATACTGGAGGAGCCTCTGAGAGGCCGTGGAAGACCTGCACGCCGGCGGCGCCCCGCTGACGCAACCCGCACAACAAAAGGTTATCAGCGGCCGATCGCGATCGCCGACCATCGCATTTCCATGGCGCGAAGGCCATCTGACCCGACGACGCCTGCCAGTCCCGCGCCGCGGCACCCGCCACTCCACGCCATTCCCGCGCCATTTCGCGCCATTCCGCGCCACGCCGCGCCATTCCCGCGCCATGCCGCCCCCACGCCGCCCCACGCGCCCCACGCCGCCCCCACGCCACCCACGCCGCCCCACGCCACCCCACGCCGCCCCATGCGCCTCACGTCACGTCACGCCACCCCACGCCACGCCACGCCACTCCGCCCACGCGACGCTCCGCCCCCACGCCACGCCGCCCCTCGCAACTTCGCGCACGCCACGCCACGCCACGACCCACGCCACGCTCGCCGCCGCCGCCGCCCCACACGCGTTGCGCCGCCGCATTACCATACTGCACTACGCCGCACCAGCCGCCCCACGCCACGCCACGCCATGCAATGCCTCCCCACCCGCCACACGCCACTCCACTCCGCGCACCGCCCGCCCCGCACCTCCTCTCCACGCCACGCCCGCCACACGCGTCGCCGCCGCGCCTCGCCATATTGTGCTACGCCAAGTCACTCTCCGCCACGCCGCGCCACACTGCGCCACGTCGCGCCGTGCCAATCCTCTTTCCAGCTGCTACGTATGTCCTGTCGCCTAATGGACATTTTTCCACATTTTCTCAAAATTTCTCTTGTGAAGCTATTTTTGAGAATATGAGCAAACATAGTTTCTGAAAACTCACCCACCGATGCTAGGCGAATGCCGGAGAAGACTGTAACAAACGAACCACAAAACAGGTCACATTTCCTTCTTCATCAATGGTTCTTCCTGTCCCTTCACACACACACACACACACACACATTCATACACACACTTATACTTAGTGTTACATGCACGACACTATCATGCACTATAATATTATTGTATATGTAGTAGAGAGACACCACGACCTCTCTCGGCTTAAAGTGCACTAGACTTACGGATCTAATGACCGAAACAGTTGGCGTGCCTAGAAACTCCAATCAATTAATTATTCATTCAAATCCTTCACCACTCAACTTTTAGTCAAGCTTTGCGAACATCACCGCCATGCCATGTCATGTTTATTTTACATTTCTAAATGTAGCATATAAGACTTTTCAATCGTTTAGTACTGTAGAGAATAGTCCAGTAGATTTAATGTAATCCCTACAATCTGTATATTTCGAAATTATATTAACAAAGATTTAACAAAACATATTGTTGTAGATCTAAAGAGTTTCAAAGCTTGAACATTTTCATTTCCAGTACCCTACAATTAAGTTCTTACAAAAAACCATTTTTTTGACATTTTAATTTATAAAATAAATTTACTATAATACACTCGACGAAATATTGTGTACGTCAATAAGAACATGAGTAAACCCCAACAGCACACTCTCCGTCGATTTGGCAATGATGCGCTACCGGATGCCTACTTAACCACGGAAGCCAATCTCGACACAGATCAGCTCCTCTTTTTTTTCTTCTCTCCTCACACCCCATCGCGACAACGCGCGTTGCGCAAGAATGTCAAGAGACCTCACGCGGAGCCTTATCTGTAGAAACAGCCTCGGTCTGCAATGCAAACCGCTTCGATCGCCTTCCACACACTGCATTCGCAGTGCACGCCGCGTTAACAAGCAGGCAGCGAGCGAAGAGGAAGCAGACGAAGAAAGACGAGCACGTCCGCTGGCGAAGAAGCTGGACGTGCGGTAATTACCTCCTTGCAATTCACCTTCCCGGAGTGACCCGGCGATCCGCTTTCTTTGTTTGGCTTCCCATTAATGGAGTCCGAAGTACGGCAAAGAGATGCTTCGTCGATGAGGTCGGTGAAGAGGATATACGTAGAATGATATCAGTGATATACAGATACACATTGGTAGAGTAAATAATAGTAACTTCTTTTTCAATATAACCTGGTTTCTATTAATAAAATGTCATAGTTAAGTAACAGTTAAGAAATAAGTCATAAGTCATAGTTAATTGGTAAGTAAAATGTTAATATAATAAATAAAATAAAACTGTAATAGTAATAAGCACATTAGGGGGGGGAGGTAAGGGGGGATCGAAAAAAAAAATAAGGGCAGAGGCGTTGGTGCGGACGATCTTCTGTGGCGCTGTTTGATTTCAGGTGCTGAGGAGGCCAAGCACTGGAAGGAGACGGCGGGACGCCCACGCCAGAAAATAAAATAGCTAAAATAAACGTCGAATAGATTAGAATGTACTCGGCTTCTGACGGCAGGTTTTTCCCCCTTCAGGGGTTTTTTCCTGAGCCGTACCTTATGGTCTCTTTTCCGCGGCTTTGATGCGATGGAGAGACCATTTGGGGTGAATACCAGAATTCGAAAGATTAGAACGCGAAAGGATGTAGGTATTGTAATGGCTTAAAGGCCTTCGGCCTAGCCACATAGGATCAAGTTAACTAATTTTGTCTGTAATAATTACCTATTAAATAAAATAAATAATTAATAAAATGTTGTTATATGTAACGCAACGCAATACGACGAAAGATAAACGTTACCGTATTTCCTACAGATCGTCAGTAACCGAAGAAACATGCTGTAGCCATTCTTTTAAATTTCTAGCCCGTATCTCGTTTCACTCGATGGAGCAACAAAAGCCTTTTAGACAGGAACGTACATGTAGATGTGAAGTCTACCCACAATGGACGGAGGTGGCTCCCGAATGAAAATGGTCCAGAAATGGTATTCCGGGCATACGTCCAAAACATGCCCATGCTCCTTACGATCAAGAGAATACCCTTTGGTTGTCCATTCCTATTCTCAGCATGATTGGTGTCAAATCTTTCACTCTGCGACACTGAGAAGAATAACAAACAACACCAACTGTACTGTGCTATGCCACTGTACCATGCCAAAGGAACGAAAGCTGTTTTCAATCTTCTTTTCACAAGGAAAAACAGTTGGAAAGTTCGAGTACATGCGTGTGGGATAATTTTTGCATGATGGCAAATTGCTTCCCGATGAATGTCATGTATAGTTTTCACATATAGATAGTTAATATGAGTGTATCTGTATTACGCTCCTCTTTACCTTTACAAATTACCTCATTACTCATTTCCTTACCTCATTACAAATATGGTTAATTACACGCGGAACGATTGATGGAAGAAAGTTTTTATTGCATGTTTTCACTAGTCATCCTCTTTTCCGTATTCAACAAGGACGAGAAGCAACCTCTGCGGCGAGAGAAAAAGACAACAAAAGAGAAGCAGCAGAGCCGCTCTACAAGTGTTAATTGTCCTCTCACATTTGCCATTCGCCTTCTCCAAGTGCCCTCGCGGCTTCCCTTTGCAAGAGCAATTTCCGCCAGTGGACGTCGGGGGGCGACTGACTGACGCTTTCCCTCAAGCAAAACTAACTCTGAGATTCTCTTTTTTTAAGAATTCGTAATCCTTTACTTCTTATGAAGAATTAAATTAGCATGGCTAAACGTTTGGAGCCTCTCCTTCATGATAAACCTCAAAATCAAAAAGGTATTAATGCACGTGTGCAGCTTGTCTGTATTGATTTATGGATTACGAACATGGTCATAAACAGTATAGCAAATAAAATGGGTACAACGATGCCAAAGGAAAATGGAACGAAAGATGTTAAACATTTTGCATTTAGACGAAATACATCTACAGAAATTAGGAAAAAGACCAAAATCAAGGATGCAGTACAGCAAGCCAGAGTGAGAAAAAGGCTTTGGAGAGGACACATCATAAGACAGGACCAAAAGCGATGGGCGTACACTACAACTCTTCAATTTTCTAACACATTGGTAATATAGGAAAATATATTTTAACAAAAATCAATGATATTTTGCCGTACATTGTTGATTTCCTTTTCTAGTGGTTAATTCTCTGAGTTCATTCACGGCATTCCATTACGTCCTGACACACTGGTTAAAATCCCTGCTTTAGGAACCCCGAAAACATGCCAGCAGGGTCGAACTGCCGACCCAATTTGTTGCAGCAGAGCTGTACTCCTGGCCCACCGGACCATCTGATCGACGCCAATTTACATCTGACTCACTTTATGGAGTTAAGAAATGGCACTTCAATTTTGATCGCCCAGATTTTTCTCTTCTACGTTCTCCGCAGTTAGTGACACCCAGTACACCTGTAGTAAAGATCTTTATTGATGAATTATGCCCCATTACCCACTAGGAACACGTCTATAAAAGCCATTAACGTAATGTCTTTTGGTAGCCGTAAAAGGAATACATACAACACTGGTCGTTAACAGTTAGGTCATTTAACCGTTCACGAAATACATCGGTTCCGCTAGTAGTTTCGTACAATTATTTACACGCGCATTAAAACCGACGAGTGACTTATTTGGGTCGTAACTTAAATCTTTGTAACTCGCCGCATAAAGAATGTATTGACAGCTTCGGTGGTTTCCTCAGGCATCTGTCTTTGGCAGCTAGACTTGCGGCCGCTTTGTCCTTCTAATAAAGAAATTGTTGGCCTCGACCTTTGAAGCCTAACGAACCTTTAGAGCTCCTTGATTGACTAGTAATTAATGAACTAACGTTTCATGAACTTGTTGATAAATTGCACAAGTACATTTACGAGTTCGTAGATGGTTTGGGTCATGGTGTTGAAAGCTACAAGAGCCTAACATGTGCTATCTTGAATGTAAATCAGTTGTTATCTGCTTTAAACTTAAAAGCACTACGATCTCCCTGCTAACTAAAACTAATTAAACAACTTAAATTACTGAATGGTATGTTTCTTTACCCTTTATTTCAGAGTCAAATACATTTGTTACACTGTAAGAAGGTCAAATCATAGGAAACATTTACAGGGCGGAACACATATCCCACGTAATTGCCTTTCCTAGGTGGTGACAATTGAGTGTCAAATAATGAGTAGCACATCAGGTCTAAGAAACCGTTTAAAGAATTGATTGTCTCGGTAAGTAAGTGGTTGCAGCAACTGCTCAACTTAAATCAGGAGTTTTAGTTCCCTGATATGGGTGACGTTTCTTTGAACAATTGGAATTCCTAAAATGCATTTCGCTCCGAAGGATAAGGTCACTGTGTAGGAAAATTTACAGTACGGAACATATTTCCGACGTAATTAATTCTCCTAAATTGTGACGGTTCGGACAATTGGAAAATGTTTACATATTTGAAATTATAACGCCATACTAACTCATAGTAGTGGTACAGGTCGTGGGTAAAACATGGTTTGGATGCTTAAAGAGGCTTATCAATGAAGTGTAAATTCTGAATATGAGAGAATAAGCAACGACATCGAGGCTTGAAAATGCAAAAAGTTCTGGCCAAATACAAGCTGCAACAAAATAGAAAAATTACAAACTAGAAAAACTTTCTAAAGATTTTTCTAAGGCAGAACGCCAAAAGAATTAGTAATTGCTAATATTATGAGAAATACGCTGATGTGTTGTTCCGCATGGAAAGAATCACTCTGGACATGTAAAAGTTAATTTAAAATGTAGATATGTAGTGGAAATTTGCAGCATACCAAACTTGCGCTTCTTTTAGTGTCACTAATTATTCAAAAGTCCTCATTTTTTAAACAAAGTACGTAATTGACATCGTTTTAAGTTCTGTAATTCAAGAATAAAATGTCTTGAGAAAAAAGTGGCTAGTTTAATTTTGGAAAATAAATTTTTAATTTTCATAATTTCATAGACTGTATTGCAAATCGTAACTATTCCATTTTTGTACTCGTAAATGTATATTCTTCTATTCATGGAATAAAAAAGTTACAGATATTTTTCAGAATTAAAAAAAAAGTGACAAGTGACATGTAATGTACACCCAATACTTTAAACACCTCAATTATCCACGGAACGCCACTAGATCTACTCCTGGCGTATTTACTATGTTTCAGCTCAAGAGAATCTAATCTCACAGAGTTAAGCGTGAAAAGTACGTATATAAATCCAAACACACATACAAACATAGATAGTCATGCCAATTTTCGGATACAAATTACTTATATCTTCTCGTGACCTGCACTCAGTCTTGAAACAGGACTAATAGACTTTCATCCTGACGTATATGCGTAGTTACAGTTCAAAAGATCCTTAATTACGGATTCTACTACAGAAAATTGGAGATCGTATTGTGGACGTGATCCAAATACTGTTCCTCCCTACACTACAGCAGAGGACGTAAAAGTAAAAAAGAAATAGAAACTTACAAATGTGCATACGAACTGGTTGTGTTGGCAGAATTACCGCAAGTGACAAAGTGTTTTGCTAGTTGATCACAATAGCGAGGAAATAGGCATAAAAGGTAATAATTTGTTAATTACATGGGTGTTAACAACCTAATACAGTGAATGTATGACAATTGCGGGAAAGATATGGAACCAGTTTTAATAATATTAAAAATATAATAATAATGATAATAATAACAATAATAATAAAAGTAATAATAATACTCATCACTGTGCAGTCTTGATGAAAGATCAATAAAGGATTGAAACGAAAATTATAGAATGTAAGTTGTTTTAATTGAATTCCTCACTTACTTTCCATGTTCGCCAACTTAGCAATTGAAGCGCCCTAATGCCGGTTTTGTGTGTGCCGCAGGTGCTGTGTTGGCTGCTGGCGCGCCCCGCCCTGGGGCTACCTGTGCGTCCCGGCGGCGGAGGCGTCGCTGGCGTCGGCGGCGTCGCGCAGGCCCCGGCGCGCCGACCTGGAGGAGTCAGCCAGCGGAGACGACCTCATCTCCGGGAGTGACTTCCTCTCCGTCTTCATCGGCGCCCGCGGCCCCGCAGCGCTCCGGCGCTGCGCGCCCCGCCCCCCGGCGACGAGCCCGCAGCAGAACCCTCGGCGCGTTCGGCGCCGCCTCATCCCCAAACCAAGTCCAAGACCGCAACGCCCAACACGCCGCACGTGCGCCGTCCCCTCCGCCTGCCGCCCCGCCCCTCCGCCCCGCCCCCGCCCACCACCGGCCGCTTGCCCGCCCCAAACGCCGGCGGGCCGACCTCTCCTTCGATCGACCGGCATCCAGCACGATCCTCTGCGGAGGCTTCCGCGCGAATTGCGCATAGTCCGAACCGAACATGGACCTCCACGCGGAGAGTCTGATAAAAACAACCCTTTGTACGAAACTACCAGTCAAGACACGTCAGAGTATCAACTCACATACCGCCTAACAGAAGACACGGCTACCAATTCCGACTGCGATGCGCAAACGACGTCCCGAGACGATTTACTGGATCTGGCCGTGTCCGACGGCGAGGCAGAACAACCTGCCGCAAACAGATGTGACTGTCCATCACAGAAATCGTGACGTCGAAAGAAGAAATCGTTACAGAACCCCACTAATGTTGTTTCAAGCCAAGAAAGCCAAGAACACGAAGCCAGGCGTCCGTCAGTTATCAACTTGCCGTAGAGCCCAAGGAACACCCCCGTGAAGGCGCCTGTGGACGACATCCCAGACTCCGTCGCCGTCACCGCTCCAGCGTCGTAGGAATCGCCGCTTGGACCATCAGGTGGTAGCAGCAGCAACATCAACCCCCCACCACCGCCGCCACCGGTTCAGCAGGTGGTCTCGGTGCGTGTGTTCCTCATCGGTGGTACAGGGTCCGTCACCAGCACCCATTTTGCGAAGGCGAAGGCCCAATCCAGCGTCACCAAGCACGACGGGCTGGCGCAGACCCCAGCAGCGCCGGGCGTCAGAGGAGGACATGCAGCGGCAGTTCGAAGCGGACACCAACTCGTTGTCGGACAGTCGCGCCGGCGCTCCCCAGAATCCACTGCCGTGCCGTCCAGGAGTCGGAACTGGAACCCCCGCAGGCGCCGCCGCCGGCTCTGGTCACAGGAGGAGCAGCCCACCAACATCGCGGTCCAGCGCGCGAGTTCAGCGTGGAGGAATCCTCCCGTCCTCGTCCGAAGCTGTCCCCCGCGCCGGGACGACCCCTCCGTCCTCAAGACGGTCGCCCCGCGTGGTGGAGGTGACGCGCAACTCGCAGAGCGCGCCGGTCAGCTACCACACCAGCGTCTCTCCGCCAACGTGGCAAGCCGCGTGCAGTTCTACAGGCGGCCGCCCAGCTACCACCGCGAGATGCCGTCCAAACGTGGCCGAGTCGATTCGCACGTCCGTCGTCAGTGCACCGCAGCGTAGGGCGGCAGCAGCCGCCCCAAGTAACGAGCACGTGTCCGGCGGCCGACTGGGCGGCACCAGCGAGGAGGCGATCGAGAGTCGCATGGGGCGGGTACGGCACCCCCGCATCGCGAGTGCGGCATCTCCGGCCCGCACGAGCGCCGTCAGCTCACTTCGGAGGTGCGCTCGTCCCACCCGAGGCGGCGGCGGCGCGCGAACGGCCCAACGCCCTACCCGCGACAGAAGAGCTTCCGCCCGCGCACACCCGAGCGCAACTACGAGCGTGCGGAACGCAACTTCGCCCAACCCGAACGCCAACTACGCCAGACGGAGCGCAGCTATGCGCAACCCGAACGCAACTTCGCGCAGACGGAGCGCACCTACGCGCTAGCCCGAGGCGACGTAACTCGCTGCCCGAGCGCAACTACGAGGTTGGACGAGGCGGTGAAGCGTGATGAGCACGGGCGCGCGCACGGCGTGCATGCCGACATGCGCCCTTCGCCCGCGCCGCCGCCGCCGCAGCCCGCGTCCAGCAGCCGCAGGTGCCGCGGCCCACGCACGCCGCTGCCCGTCTGTGGAGCGCGCGCCGGGCGTGCTGGACACGTCGCAGGCCGCGACCTGCCCAAACCACAAGTTCGGCTACGTGGTGGAAGGGCGCAACTACCGCAGTACCGACGTGGAGGAGCGAAGCCCGACGGGTTCACTCGTGGGGAGTACGGCGTGGGAGCCACGACGACGGCACGCTGCGCGCGTCGCGCTACACGCGGACGGCAAACACAACCACAGCTCAATCTACGAAGCGATCGTCAAGTTCCCTGTCGCTGTAAGGGCGGCTCGCCACGCCCTCCCGCGACGCCGCCACGCGTCCTTCGGCCGGTCGATCTTCCCTGCAGCGCGTCCTGCTGTGGGGGCGTCTTCCTCTCGAACCGGAGACGCGCCACCACGCGCGATCTTGCCATCGGCGCAGTCCAGCGGGGAGGGTCGACGGAGCGGGAAGGAGGACCGAGCGGGCGAGCGCTCAATCCGCGCGATTGGATCGCGAGTTGCCAGCTGCGCGCGCCCAGATGCATCGGCTGTGATGGAGGGCCGCGCGTGGCAGAGCTCCCGCCCCTCCCCTCCCCCGCCGCCCAGCCCCGCCTCGCTGCCCCGTTCCCACTGCCCGCCGCCGCCCGCTGCCGCGATGACTGGCTGCACATGCCCCCGCGCGCGCGCCCGTCGCCCTTGGGCGATAGGGAATTGCGGCCTCACATTCTGTTGTGCTCTGAGTGAAGTTCTACATGCCAAATTGAAAAATAAAATCGACTTTTATTACTTGAATTTATTTTTGTATTTTATTTATCGCTTACTTAAATTTATTTTTGGAAACTTTGAGTTAATTTAGTCTCGGAAATTTATTATTATTAAATCAAAAATTATAATAATTTTCAAGTACTCGTCATGGAAGGATGATATAAAAGTCATAACGTGGGCATTTCTTTAAGAACCTCAATACTCCCATTGTTAAAGAACCGGATAATTAAATAAATTGCAATGAGTTTTGTGAAACTAAATCATTCTGTGAAAACAAAAACAAAAATTGCATATTAATCAACACATGTAGAGTGATACATTCCAACTTTTGTCTTTAAAAATCTCTTCTAGGAAACTCTTATCGCTCTACAAAAAGCTGCTCAAAATATATACATAATTTATTGACTAAACACATAATTTATTCCTTTTGTGGAAACCAATATTAGTGAGATAATAATGAAAACCCTGTATTAAGAAAAGAACAAAGGGAATAGCACTTCAGTATTACCTTTAGTTCAATTCAAATAGAAACACATGGAATGCATACGCGAGACTACTTCAAGTGATTAGCACTTTTTCTTGAGCAGTGTTTATTCATCAATTGAAAAAAAAACGCTGAATTCCTAGGAGAGGAGAAATGTTCACCCAGAGCACCGACACGTGAAGTCCCTGTTCCCGTCAGCCAGGATGCGAGCGCGCGTCCCGGCGGGCATGCGCTCCCCTCGTCGCCGCAGCATCGGCCCGCCCACTAACCCGCTCCCCCGCTCCCCCGCTCACCCGGCTTCAATGCTCACCCGGCCTCCTGACGCTCCGCCCCACGGCTCCTCCGATCACCACCACCGCCCGCCCTCGGCCCCCGACATCACCCGACGACCCTTGTGGAACTCCATCTCGACCGCGTTTGCCGCACGCGATGGGCTTCAGACGTAGTGGGAGTTGGACGATTGAAACAATGTGCGTTGTGATGAAAGTGTTGGTTGGGTTGATGCCTCTGCAAGACAAGCGGGAGTTCCTTTATTGTCATTCGTGTTGCTCTCTCTGCTTCAGTGTCGGAGGAGAAGACGTCGTCAGTTGATATTTATGTACTGAAAAGACTGCTACTGTTGTTCCATGAGCTCGACTTCTGAGGAAAATGCGCTTTTTTGCATCAGACCAATTTCCGAAAATAGAAAAACCACATGGTGAAAAGACTAGAAATATGTCTTCTGTTGGTGCCATCGTAAGAGAATGGACAGTGGTTCATGCTCGGCTAAGTATTTTTGTACCAGTTTTATAATTCCCGGTTTGATCTTCTCTGTGATGTTTTTCAATACTCTTGAAGTGAGTACGTGCACTAGGCGTGGACATAAAATATTGTTTCTGCACAAGAAAATAAGAGTGTGTTTGATAATGCGTCAACGAATGCAGACTTCCCAAGCCACGAAGTTCTTCTGTTTAATCGACAGGTGCGAACTGAGAGGACTTCCATAGGATAAAACCTTCTTCAGTAATTCCCAAGTTAGCAATTTTTTACACATAGTTTGCCATGTTATGTGATTTTTGCCATGTAAAATGTTTTGATGTTTATGTTCTCGGTTTGTTTCAAAATAGTTTCGCTGTTAATGGAAGTCATTTTCTACTTACGCTTATTTGTAATGTACATGGTTGATTGTTACTACAGCCATTCGAGTCAGTTTATGTTACAAGTTATTGTGTCATGACAACTTTATTCATGAAATATGTATGTTTTAAGTCCTAACAAACTGAAATGTTTTTCCCACCATACAGTTAGTGAACTTTAAGTTCATATGTTTTTCTAATTATACTTTTCTTAGAAACATATTGTTCCGTAAACTTTGCTTTATACTTATTGCAGTTCTTCATGCTAGGACAAGTGTAAGTGCTCGTAATGCTGACTTGTAGGCGTGAATGAACCCTCTCTAGTAATTTAGATACGTATATTACAGTACATGTTTACTTTTTTCCTCAGAAACTCTCCGTACACTGTACTTCCTTTTGCTTGACGCATTAAAATTGACAGGATTGTTATGCTAGCCATTTAATGGATTTTTCAAGTAAGCAATAAAGCATTTTTGTAAAGAAATTACTTGTGATTTTGTTTTATTTCCTTCAATACTATCCTACTTTGTTTCTTACATTTTGATTTACATAATACATTCTTAGTTGGTGGAGATGTATTGAAAATTGATCAACTTGCACCAACTACTGAAGTTCACTATCTACAAAATCTCCAGAATAACTTATGCTTCATGACAATAGTTTCCAATTATATTCACATTACTGAAAACTACTCTGTGTAGAATGAATGCACATTCGAGTAATAAATAATTGGTTCATTATTTTTCTTAATGCTGTAATTGTCATAGATTTTGTCAGTGATTTATAATTAATAGTTAACTCCTTACTAGTATTTGAAAATGTCTTAGAAGATTATTTTAGTGGATTTTGAGATTTTATTGTTTTATTGTAAATTAAAGTAAATATATTTCTCACAGAACTAAAATATTTACAGTGTGTGAATAATTCTTCCGTGTAATGATCTTGCTTCATTGCGTTAAATGATGAATTGGAAAATTCTATAATCTTTAATACAAAACACGTAACAATTTGATGTTTTATTCATGCGTGAAAAATTAATATATACTAATTATTCTGTAAACAATAGACCTCGCTAAGGAAAAAGAAACTTAACATACATACATACATACGTACACACAGACATATATACTTACTTTCCTAGGTCATTACAACATAAAAGAAAGTTCATACCATGTTCGAAGAAAATCGAACAACACATTTCCTCTCGTCAACCCAATTTTCAGGCAAAATCCCGAATGGTCATTTTAAAAGATATTGCTATGCTCGATCAACTAGACGAGCACTTAAAATTAAAACTGAAAATGATATTTATGGAAAATATTTTTACAATACATTTTAAATCCTTTTTAAAGATATTACGTTGTAAGTGGCTTTTTTATTTAGGAAATATGTCATTCAATAAAATTCTGAGGAATGTCGGGTTCATACAAAATTCTAAAGGAGCACTTACAACAACCAAAATTAGAAAATTCGAATTGTTTCTTATAATTGTATTGCACCTAACTCAACATGATTGACACATTGTTGTGTTTTTGCATTATTAATTTTACAATGGTGTTTCAAAAGATTGGAGGATTCAAGAATCTAATTCTGATTGGAAACCTCAATAGGATTTGGTTAGGATTCCCATTTGAGAAACTGTGTACACTTGTACAAACAGAGGGAGTCATCAGAAGTGTGAAGACTGGCAGACTACTTCAAATTCCGGTCCTGCAGTTGCGATGTGGGATTTATTTTAACTACTCCAACTTCTTCCAGTGCAGGACGTCAGGAAGTCATATTTTCTGCTGAGGTCGGAGAAATAAATAACGACCTCCTGCCTGCCCACCGCGTAGTTTGTTGCCGGAGCTTGACTCAGAGGTTCGTGATCGGAGCGGTGTGAAGGCCTGGGAGAGCACTGGGGGAATCGTGTTGTCAGAGACTGTTTAAGACTCTGCGTGTCCCAGTTCATTACTAATCGGAGAGAGATCATTGTCAAGAACGAATATCTTGTTTTTAAGAATACTTGTGGCCGAATAACTCTTACAGGAAAACAACAACAATAATATTTGAAATTAGAAAGATGTGTGGAATATATATTGTTCTATTTTCATCAGTAATTGTGCTATTTGTTTCACATATTCAATTATTTTATATTCTTCTGCAAATCCAAAACAGACTTATATATTTAAGATAAATATTTCTCCAATTTTCTTTCCGTCAGATGATTTAATTAAAAATGTGTAGTTTTCTGGTATCACTTGAAGTCATCCAGAAGGAAAATATTGAACAAAATAAAAAATAACTAATATTTCTTTCTTTCTCTCTTACTCTCACTCACTCTCTCACTCACTTTACTCACTCACTCGCTCTCTACTCACTCTCTCACTCAATCACTCTTTTCCTACCTCTCCCTTTTTATCTCTTTCTTTCACTCTTTTTGCTCTCTCTCTCTCTCTCTTTCACTCTTTTTGCTCTCTCTCTCTCACTCTTTTTGCTCTCACACCTGTTCTCTTTCACTATTTTTCTCTCTCCCTATTTTCTTTTCTCATTCTTCTCCTCTCTCTCTCCTCTCCCTTTTTTCTCTTTCTCTCTCTCTTTTTCTATCTTGCTTTTTCTGTCTTTCTCACTCTAGCAGACGCTTAACATCTAACGAGATAATAAGTCGGAAAAGGAGGGGAGGGGACGAAGGGAAGGGCGAAAGGGAAAAGATGTGTGAGCCACGCTAACAACAAATGAAGGGCTCTGCTGTATGTTGTCCTACGCCACATTTTCATAAACGTTAGGATACTTTTCTAACGTATTTACAACAATGATTATTACCTTTTGTGTAAATATTGAGATGCCAGTATAACAAATATCACCTTATTACAAAACCATTTGTTCTTTGCTGTTTTCTCTGTGGCGAGGAACGTCCCCTATTTATAGTATTATTTTTCAGAATGAACTCGTACTGGCAAAGGACAATCTCGAGCCCTTGGAATAATAATAATAATAATAATAATAATAATAATAATAATAATAATAATAATAATAATATATTCTTTATTCACAGTTCTCGTATTTTACAGTAACCATATATACAAATCAAAGCATCATTACACATAAATACTAGGCCTATAGTAATTATAAGACAATAATGCATATTATAGGTAAAAACGTTACTACATAATTATAAGCTTCCAACATTTCTCTAAAAAATAAAAAGTGCATTAATTTTTGTTTCTAAATATTATATGCACTCGTGAATACTCTGGCCATAGAACACGTGTTAATTAAGACAGCCTTCTGGGACTTATTGATTTCATATTTAATGATGCACAGTTCTTCCAGTGTCTTGACAGCGTTTTGTCACAACTCAAATGACTGACAATATCCAATGATTGTTTTCGCATTTTGCA